AGGATATAACCCCTCCCCCTCTCTAGGTTTAATTGTGTGATATCACTATTATGTAACATACCATGTTGTTTTTGTAGGCGGACTCCACTTTTTGTTGGTGTGGTTATTATTTCTTGGTCTGTGGTCAATACCAGTGATTCTGATAGAGTATTCTGTTGGTCAATATACAAGAAGGGCTCCAGTCAAATCATTCCGAGCACTACGGGGACCCTGGTCATTATGGTGTGGTGGATGGATGGTGATAGTTGTTAGTTGCATTGCGTAAGTGTGTGTTTTTTTTTAATGAGTAATTTACTGTTTAGTGATGATCAATGCAGCCATTTTGTTAACTTGATATTGGATCAATATTGTGGTGACAACTTGTCTTGGCTGTTGAGTTTTTCAAATTCCTTACTCAAGCACAATTTTCTTCTGAAGGATTCTTTGTGTGATCTACAAATGTTGCAGAATTTAATAAATTCATCTATTAGCTTTTGATGCTGCTGTTTGGTTTTTCCATTGTATCCATCATTCTGTGACATGAAAATTTTTGACTAAGCCTTTTGCTTATGAAGGTGGCCTCTTTACCTTCAAACTCCTCCTATTTAAAATTTAAAGATGTGTATTCCTCTGGTTCAAATTACTAACCCCACCAAGGCATGGTACTGATTCCCCACCCCCCTGGGCATGGACAACTGTCAAATGCCCATGGGTTGTGCAGAGGAGGAAGGAATGTGAATCTCCAAATTGATTGGTGCAATACAAAGTGAGAGTTCTCTTTGTCAATTACAAGTGTGATTTCAGACAGAATTGAATGACTTAAAGTCCTGGTACCCTTTAATCAAAACTCCGACACAATTTCGGAAACAAATTTGCCATGGGTTATACATTTTCATTAAAAAAAACAAACAAAAAAACAGTTAACTTGGTGAAATGCACAACAAGAACTGGTACACATGAACCACACAGGCATGACTTGTACACTATCCAGTTAAACTCTTCACTTAAAAGCATGACTTGTACACTGTCCTATCAGTGCTCAAATAGGGCTTGCAATAAACAATTTGATGACTTTTGTTATTTGTTTTGTTGTTAAACAAAGATGATTATCTGATTGTATTTCAGGTCATATTATGCTGTGGTGGTTGGCTGGTGTTTTTATTATGTCTTTCACTCCATTTCCTATCAGCTGCCTGAATCATTGGCAGCAAGCCATGCTATTTTGGATCATTTACAGGTGATGTTTGTTAGTAATTTGTTACTTGGTTTACAGATGTCATTAACTTCTTAAAAAAGGCAACCATATGGTTGGAAATGCAGTTTTAAACACATTTGAAAAAAATCTGTTTTAAATCATTCTTCTTATTAGCAGACCACAATTAGCAGACCACAGATAATGTCAAAATGTGGTAAAAAAAAAAATGATGACATACGAGGCACAGCCAAATGTGTTGTTAAGTTCTTACAACTTTTTGACATTTACTGTGATCTTAAATACTTAATGCAGACTCATGGCAACATGGAAACTATTTATTTTATATGCTAAAAAAAGGTAAATGCATGTATTAATTAGCTTATGGTATAATTACTAATGTCAAACCCAGAAAACTGTAATTGTTAGAAATATTAAAAAAATTATTTAAAAATATTTCTTTTTCTTTTTTCACAGGATTGCAAGTGGTTACCAGTCCTCCTTCTGTTTTTAAGCCTGTTGTTTGCTGGTGTCTCAATAACCAGATCCGTGTCATCCATTGAAAGAGTGAACATTGTCATCATGCCACTTCTGTTACTTGTACTGGTGGTATCGTTCTATTGGTCGCTGACTTTGAAATATGCGTCATTTGGAATTACTTACCTCTTCACACCAGATTGGGGTATGTTGCTATATGATGGTTGCAGTGCATCTTCTATATTGTAAATTTTTGGCAAAGTCTCTAGTTAGGGTATGAGCTAGTGTGGGAATCTGCAGAATGGAAAGTCTGTTTCATTTGCTACATGCATGTATCACTTCCCATAGATACCAGAGCTTTTTGGTTAAATATAGCAGCAAACAATCCTGTTATTTATTGGCAAAGGCACAGTGGGCTCATGGTTAGTGCACTTGACTCTGGATCGAGTGGTCCGGTTTGGAGCCCTGGCTGGGGTCATTGTGTTGTGTTCTTAGGCAAGACACTTTACTCTCACAGTGCTTCTCTTCACCCAGGTGTACAAATGGGTACCAGCAAATGTGCTGGGGGTAACCCTGCAATGGACTAGCATCCCATCCAGGGGGAAGTAGCAATACCCCTAGCTGCTTCATGCTAAGGAAACTGGAGTTAAGCGCTGTCCCCATGGGCCATTTGGGCCTGTATAAAGGCTTTACTTTTTTTTATTGACTGATGGGTCTGTAGTGCTGATGATGTATATAGTATTTTGACTTTGTGATTGGAAGTCCCTGTACACTACAGAAAGCATTCAGTTTTGTTGTAATAAAGCTAAAATTTTAAAAGAAGGCTCTTACCTGATAATTATAATGACCTCATCAAATGGTTTGAAACCTAAAATTGGTCCTTAGAAACTGAAGTTGTTGCAGTTCTTTTATTTTTCTCCTGTAGCTGAATTGGGAACCTTACGTCTTTGGGTGGATGCAGCCTCTCAGAATGCTTGGGACACAGGTAAAAAAATGATTTCAAATAATTTTATTTCAATTCAATTCGTTCATTTTTATTTAATTTCGTTTCTTTTTCTCCCATTTCATTCTATTCCACTCCATTACTTTCCATCATTTCACTTCACTTCAATTAATTTTTCTTATGTCACAGAAATTTTCCCATTTCATTTCCCATCATTTCATTCCCATTTCATTTTATAACTGATTGGAACACTGCAACTGCCTTAGTCAGTATTAGTAGACTAGGATTTTTGTATCATTATTTAAAGTTCCTAACTGGAGTCGATGGTACCATACAAACTCACATTTTTGTTTAATTCTAATTTTTTTTCTAAAAATCCTTGCCTTTATTCTCCTAGGTGCTGGTTCAGGGTTATTTTTAACATATGCAACATACATGTCCAGACGGAATAGTGTGGTCAAATTAGGAATCCTTCTTCCACTTTGTAACAATTTAGTCAGGTGAGCACGAGCAAGTCCTCTTGATAAATTTATAATTCTTGGACCATAAGTAAGTCCTGCCTCCTTAAATCTCTATAATTGTGGTTGAGACAATTGCCCCAGACTATAAAAAAAATCCTTAATTGATTAAGATTGAGGTTGAAATTGCTAAATTTAAAAAAAAGATCCCATGGTCAGTAATAGATCACAGATGAGGTGCAGTTGTTAATGGTTACTTCATGTATGCGTCTTTCCTCCAATAGATCATAAGTACCAAACAATCAAAATACGTGTATAATTCAGCTTATTTGCGACTGCATGGATCTAGACTTCATCACAGCCCAAAGTTAAGCAAAACAAACTCACAAAAATTGGCCAATATACAGTTTTTTTATCCTTACGCCTTGTCGGTAACGTAGATGTATGGCAGCTCGCTATGAGTTCCCTCTAACCCACTGCTGGTAAAGCACTGCTCTGTTAATTGGAAGGTTCAATGATTTCAACCTTCCTATCGTAACGAAACTCTTTGTCCCATTCTCGTTTCTAATGAATTAAGATTTCTTCTTAAAAGTTATTTCAGAGTTGCGCAATCATTTAGAAAAGTGAAAATTGATTTAATTTTCTTCAGCGATTCCAACAAAACCTTTTGCGCCATTTGTAAACGTAGAGAACTTATATTATGCCATACATTTATTTTTTAACTTATTTGTCACTGCAATTTTTCTCCTCTTCAGTTTAGTAAGCGCTTTGACACTTTATTCCACGGTATTTTCTACAAAGATGAGAGAGGGAGTTAATAAAACTGAAATCGCACGGTTATTAAGAGAGGACGGCTATGCTAATACAGGACTCACCTTTCTTTGGTAAGTTTTAGTTAATGGAAACACGTGCGTACAAGCGCGGGCTCAGCGATGTTTACAAGTGCACGTCTTACTGCTATTCTTAACGCTCCCCTTTTGGTTCAAACAATCTCGTCTTACCTGTCTAACCAATCAGATGTAAAGGTAATACTAATTACGACATGGTAACTCACGTTTTCCCGCACTGAAAGGCTTTCCGATTGACTCAGTATCGAAAAACAAAAACCAAAGATATCACAACGGCCAATCATGACAAAGGTTTACATCATCATTATTAGCCAATGAGCGCTCAAAGTAAAAACAGGAATACCACCATA